ACCCGGAGATCAACAGGCAGCCAGTGCAGCTCGCGGAGGATAGGTGTTACGTGGGTGACTCGAGGCGCACCCACGATCGCTCGCACGGCTGCATTCTGGACAAGCTGAAGGCGCCGAATGCTCTTCAAAGGCAGCCCCATGTAGAGCATGTTACAGTACTCCAGCCTAGAGGTCACAAGGGCACGAGTGACTGTTCTGAGAGCCTCCCGGTTCAGGTAGAGAAATTGACCACAAAAAGCATAATTAACCTTTGATTCATACAAATACAATTATGTCTACACCTTGAGACTTAATGACTAACAAAGTAATCTTTTCTATTTTTTTATTTTTTTACTATTTTGGTAAAAACTGTACAAAGTATATCTTAGTATGCTATATTATAAACTAATAAAAATTGTTTAAACGGCTAAAAAACCCTCACAATAATAAAGAAAAACAAAATTTAAAATAGTTTGAGGAGCTTCTTAGTTGAAGAAAGTTTAGGCAATGGAGGACAGATATCGGCACAGTATTAATCCACACTAAGAGGAAATATTTTATGTCTTTGGACATCTGCAACTTTTTATTAGAAGTAGTGCTCTCTAATTCACCAGCTCAAAAATAAACACGCAAAGCCTTTACCCAGGCAACATATAGTTGTTTTCTGCTTCAGGGTATACATGATTTAATAATGAAGTAAGGTAAACTGCTAAATTAAGCTGTCCCTTATTCACATTGTACAAAAAGTAAAGTTTTGAGAATTGCAAGGAACTACTGAAAAACAGAATGATTTATCTTGGTGTGTAGGGGTGTGTGTGATTGCTTGCAGGGAATTTTGAAATTGAATTGAGGGTATCATATAGCACAAGAGCTGCAGGGAACTCATCCCTTTGAAATGACTTTGAGAGAACCAAACCCCACAAAAGGTGGGGGGAAAGATAGCATTTAATCCATATGTAGTATGCATGTTTGCCCTTATGTCTATATGTGTAAAAAAAAAAGGATTGGGATTCATTTTTTCAAAGATAGATTACATTATAATTTTTGGAATTATAATTTTTGATCCACTTTTCGCTGGGTTATTATTTTAGAAACTATCCCACCTTTCTACCCTGAAATGAAAATAAGGCAAGAGTTTCCAAAAATAGAGAGCCTTTATGTTGAGCTCAGTAACTGATGACTCAATCTCTCCAATTTTCTTGGCAGTGTTGCATAAATTGTTTCCTTGACATACTTTTTTTAAATTTCCCAATCTAGACTACAGTTGTGGAATTGATGGGCATCTATCCAGGTTCTAAAAATCAGGTATGGATAGAGCTGAGGTGGCGCAGTGGTTAGAGTGCAGTACTGCAGGCCACTTCAGCTGACTGTTATCTGCAGTTCAGCGGTTCTAATCTCACCGGCTC